TATACCGTACGACACTCTCGTCACTCTACCCTTTCTCTAATTGAATTTAATTAATTCTGGTAATTATTTATTAAATAAATTATGTTAACCTTCATTAATATGGTGTCCTTCGTATGATTGGCTTTCATCGGTTCCGTCGCTGCCGGCGATCACACGACTGGTCGTCGGCCGAGCGCTCAGCAATTGACTGATAAAATCGTGTCGACTTTGACGGCGACGACTGTCCACAAGTTGGCGGAGTATTTCATGCATTTGTCGATTAATGCCTGTACTGTGCAGTGAGTTTAGGCCGAGCGCTGAGAGCACCGGATGCGGTAGGAGTCGGAACAACACTGTCTTCAGTGGCGAGATGTGTGCGATTTCAGTGGCGCACCGGACGAGCGGCTCGTCGGGCCGGTGCCGGGCGTCAGTCTCTACACCCCAGGCGATCGCCCCAATCGCGTCCATAGCGTACCACTTATACGCCTGATTAATGTCGACTGTGGGCCCCGACTCGGCCAGAGTGTCCATTAGATGCTGTAAACAGGTGTCGATGATAGGGTACGCGCGACGCATACGTCCGGACGTGAACAGCGGCGACACCGCCGACCGCTGGCGCACCCACTCATCGCCGGTCATTAGGTTAACGCTCTGGCCTTTCAAGTGTTGCTTAGTGTTGCTCAGCGCCGGACGCACTGCGAATGTGTGAAAGTCTTTCACCAGTATCTGTTTGATGAGCACCGGGTCTGCCACCGATAATGTGGCCTGGTTGCCTTCAAACACTCTGGTAAGAACAGTGTTGAACATGGTGTTAACAAAATTGCCATTATAGTTTTGTTAATAATATTCTACTATAAATTATGATTTTACATGTTAATTAAGATAAGAATAATTTGGTTTATATGATTGGGCCGCCACCCCCTCCCTGATCCTTCATCCTTTGGGCAATTTTCATAGGATTATAGCTTAATCCTATAACATAGAGATAACATCGGGCTTCTACCATAGGCTAACATTAAATAAAATTTTGGTATTGGTAAAATTAGTTTATATTCGTTTCTATGGGATCCCAGTTCAGGTTCATGAAGTAGGTTTAACATGGGTAATGCTAATCCGATTCGTAATGTTAATCCTATGGATAATGCTAATTTTATTTAAAATGTTATTTGAATGAGGTAAGGCTTCGTTCACATATTACGTTCGCACTTTTTCAGAAATCTAGACCCCCTCCCCCTTTTTGTTCGCAATTGTTCTCATATAGTCATTTAAAAATTATAATGTTCGCATGTCCATAACACCCCCCTTGTTATCAAATTGTTGTTATCAAAAGATTGATTTTAATAAAAATTAATCCCTTAAACTCTTCAAATTGTTTAAATGCGAACGTTCTTCATGGAGCTACCCCTCCCCTCGTTTGCAAAAGTTTGCATTGGCCGACCCCCCTTCCCCAAGTGTGAATGTGATTTGTGAACAAATCCTAAGGTTAAATCTATGGGCAATGATATTTTTATAAGCTAATACTAAATCTATTAGAACCTGGGAGAATCAACCGACTTTTGGATAGCGAATAACATCGCGTTTAATTTTTGTTTATTTGTAATTGCTCACAATAATTTCTAGCATAGTAACAGGTATTATGTAAAAATATAAAAGAATGTGTAATAAATTTAATAATTACCCATAAATGTTGCCATATTTTTTAAGCCTCTGTATCTCTAATTCTTCTGGTTTGACAAATAGTTGTTCCCATATATTGCCCAAAAATACAACGGGTTTCGGACCAGTGATGCCTTGTTTGGTGAAAAAATCAAAATTGCGCGTAAAATACCTAAATACATATAGAACAAAAATGACTGTTATCTAGCTATAGTACATTATTTTAGAATAAGACTTTGTAACTTATTTCAAATGCAAACTCACCGATATATTACCCATAAACTCACAATAAGTATTAGCCCGTAGACTAACCACTCGCTCGACAGCCTAATGAAGTTCATTGTAATTGAAAATAAATTACGATAACTATTGATTCGATTATTATTTATTTAAGTTTGTCTCGACTAGAGATTTAGTCTTTTAATAATAACTTAAAAGGAACCCGGACACTTTTTGAATTAGTAAAAAAACATTTCATTTTTGCTGTATAATCTTATTTGTCGTATAATGCATTACAAAGCTTTTTAAGCATTTATAATATTATTATGATATTAAGAAATTTTGTTATTTCTAAATAATTTTGCAATTAAATTTACATTAAGAAGTTTTTTGCAGTTTAATTTCTGTCCCCAATTTTTTCTATTTACATATCATTTGATGTATTTATTAATAAAATAAGACTTGGATTCTCAAAATGTTGCCCATAAAAGTGGTCACTTCAACGAATGATCTCAAAGTCAAATAAATAGTCACTTAACTATAGAGTATATGTCAATTTTAAAATAATTACATCTAGGTGCATTTACAGTAATGCTCTTACTTTTTTCCAATAGGTTCCATTATGTTATATAAATATATTATATTATGTTCCATTATATTGGAACTAATATTTTAAAAATAACATGACTAGCACATTTATAATTTGTATTTAATTTTTAAATAATTGTCAGACATTTTGCACTTAATGTCCTAAACTTTGTCTTTTAAAAATCAATCATCTAATGGGCGGAAGAGATGAATGGATTTAAACAATTAATTAAATTCCCATATATTTTTTAAATTGCAATATTATATTTTGCGAAATTTAATTTAAAAATATGTTAAAAGAAAGTATTTAATAAAAGTTTGCTTTTTTGTGTTAAACTGTAACAAGTTGTAGATATTTCCCCATAGTATTGCATTATATGAATTAGTAATTTTAAGTCCCAGTAATTACTGATCGGCACTTCGGATCTATTTCCCGAATTGCTGGACATTTGTTAAAACTAATAGACCACGTGATAAAGTAGTAGTTGTTTACCCACTCGGGTAGAAAGTTGTCAATTTGATCTAATAAAAGTAACAAGCTCAGAAGTAATATACTGTTTGTGTCTCACCCAGAGTTCACTTAATTGTAATGCATAGCGTTCGCCAAGTGCCAACCACGAACCCTAAAGCGCTACCTTCTATGTGATGTTAATATAGGAATACAGGTATAGTTAGTGACATCTAACGCTATGGTCGTTTCGTGGCGAACGCTAGTAATGCATGTAAAGTTTATATAAAGTTGTTATTAAGTTAATACATTTAATGCAAATGCTATTTTATTTTAGATTAAAAAAATAATTTAGAAAGTTCTAGTATTTTAGTTATTAAACATATGACATATTTATAATGCATTTTAATTGCTAATTTCTAGTCAGCAATTTTGGAATAACGTATTATTTATTAAAATTTTTTTAACCAATCATTATATCTTACTAACTTTCATGGTGTGTATTATATAAATAAAAATAGTTTTGTGGTATAAAATAGGCGATATTTTAACATTTATGTTTATTAACCCATTTCTATACTTACTGTGTTATTATAATAGAAAATTATTTTACAAATTACTGCAGAAATATTTAATTATATTTTATCATTAAATAATGAAGATTTCGCCTGAAATATATGCCACGTTAAATCATCGTTCACGTAGAGTAGCTCTCAAAACGTTTGACCGGATTGATGCAACAAACGGGCATGTATACTTTTAAAAAATGTTTATATGTTTAATTATGACTCTTTTAAAAAAAAATAAAGTACATTGTGTGACAATGTCCCACAATATATAACAGATTATGTTTAGTAGGCAGGATGTCTTTTTTAACAACCGTGTGAATAAATGTCATAAATAAATAATAAATAATTAATATTAAATTAGCTATTAAATTAATTTAGTTTCAAAATAATTACCTGATTTATAATATCAATAGTTGGTATAAAAAGCTTATTGATTACATTTATAGACACGGGTACCAAACAGACCTCCTATCAACTAAATATACTCTGCTATAATTATGGGAAACTTTGTAATTAGCAAACATTGTATTGTCCATTAACTCCCAAAAATAACCCTAAAATAGTCCCACATTTGTATAACGTACATCAATTCACACTACAGTATATTCATGTTATAGTTAAACAGATTCATTGCGATATTAATTTTGATAGATTATACGATATTATTGTGGACATGGGTTCGGGCGACGGAGGGGTGACCAGAGAGTTGGCCGCACGTGTGCCGCATCGGCGTCTCATCGCCGTCGACGTGAACCCGTCGATGACAGAGTACGCGCGCGCCCACAACACTCTGCCCACCATTGAGTACGTCACTCAAGACATGTCTGTCGAGTGGTCGGAGTTGAGTCCAGAGATCCGGCGCCTGGAGGGCTCAGTGAGGCTCATATTATCTAACTTTTCGCTCGACAACGTATCGGCGCACCGAAGCCAACAGTTGTCGCTATGTCGGCGACTGTTGGCCAGGGGTGGGTCACTACACGTCAATACGTCGCTACTCCACGACATTAACGCCAAACTGGCGCCCAATGACCCCCTCAGACGCCAATGGAGTCAAACCGTTGGCCAACAGTTGGATGACTTGCGCCGGGCGTTCGCTGACAACGGGTTTGTCATTGATTAAGCGGACAATTGGTGCCAATGAGAGCGCTCTCAACGAATCGGAAATCGTCGCCAATTCGTTGATTTTCTTTATCGGTTCATATCATCACTTGTTCTCAAAGCTGTCGTACTGTACGCTTGATTTGGCGCTCAATCCCAGCGCTCAGGAGCTGCTGTACGCGGAGGTGCGCGCAGTGGCCCCACAACTGGACTCCACAATACCGTACGACACTCTCGTCACTCTACCCTTTCTCGACGCCGTCATATCCGAGTCGATGCGTATGCATAGCACACCTCTACACGTGTCCCGCTGTGCGAACACTGATTACCAGATGCCGGGCACTGGTGTGACCATAAGGGCCGGTCAACTCATACAGATCCCTGTCTACGCCATTCACCACATGGACGAGTACTACCCGGAGCCGCACCGTTTCCTACCGGAACGCTTTATGCCCGAAAACCGGCGCAAACTGACGCCCTATACGTACCTACCCTTTGGCGCCGGACCCCGTCATTGTGTGGGAATGCGTTTTGCGTTAATGGAGATTAAGTACGCGTTGGCACACGTCGTGCGCCGCTATCGGTTTGTCCGCTGCCCGGAGACCAACGCCTGGCCACCGGTGGCCAGTCATCCGACCATAATTGTGCCCAAATCGTTGTACGTCGGCGTCGAGGCCCGACACGATTAGCTCAGCCTCGCATTAATCACAACTATTTTATAAAATTTTTAAATACAATTTAAATGAAACAATATGATCTAGATAGCTTAGGTATAGAGAAAGCACGATTTTATTTTGACGTGATTATTAAATCACCAAGTTAAATTTTAATCTATTATTTAAAATACTAATTACAAAATCTGTAAACTTTCAATTATATTAAAATAAATGAGTATTTCAGTATTTAAGTTCAATTATAGAAGTTATATGTTTAAACCCCTTTTCTTCCTACGGCCTATAAGGCCTGAGTTTAAATAATGCAAAAAAATTCAAACTATCAATAATTTAAAATCTATTTTTCATAATGAAGCAGAATATTATTTCAAATTATAAATTGGCCATCATTACTATTAAAATGGTTGTCCTGAGGGTTATAGTAATGATTGATTTCTGTTTCGATCACAACTTTTGTTTTATAAATTTTACAATTAAGGGCTGACTGCAGACAATGATATTAGTACTCATCTTATAGAGGAATAATTTCCTTTTTATTTTTGTTTTAAATTAAAATAAGATTTAGTTTACGTTTAATTTATATATTGATATTAAATATTGGTTTTATAAAAGTTCGCCATTGATGGATGACTGTATTTTATTTGGTACAAAAATAACAATTACAATGCAAAATTTCTTATTAATGCCACGTTGATTAACTTTTACTTTTATACTAGAACATTCTAAATGAAAATATATAGCTTATTCTAAACTCTAAGCGCCATATTTTGTGTTCACAAATATAATATAATGTGTAATTAAAAGTTATATAATCAACAGATATTAAACTATTAGAAACATCTAGATTTTATATACAGTAACTAGTAATTATATATAACTATTAATATAAGTAATTTAATAATCAAAATAATAAAGTAATATGTACAGTAAAATTATTCAATTTAATATTATTAGTTACATTTAACTTGTGTCAAAAACAACTAAACATAATTACTTTACTTAAGTTAGTATCAGTTAATAATTAAGTCATGTTTAAAATTAGCGACAAATTCCACAAAATCCGCGGCAATTATTACAACAAACGATTTATGGCGGACGCCGTGGAGTACGCGCTAGACTACGCACCACGTTCACGAGATCGCATCATGGTCTATTACGCCAAATCGGACCCACGGCAGTGGATTGAGTCCATTGCGAGCCAACTCGTGACCACTGGGCGACGGCTCGAGGCCTACAATGAACCCGTTTTGGGCAACTACTTGCTTGAACATCATGGCGAGGCCTTGTTCAAACAACATGCTAACCTGGCCCTCCCCGCGTTGAGCGACGTTACTTTCATGCGCAGCCACCTGCCATTCAAACTATTCCCGTACCGCCCGGAGCCCCGGTACCTGTTTGTGTTGCGCAATCCTAAAGACGTTTGCGTTTCGCTTTACTACTCTTTCAACACAATTTATGACATGGAAATTGATTTTGACACGTATTTTAAGGTATGTTATGATTTAACTAGTATTGCATCAATTAATGCCATTCTGAGCTCAATTAATTATTGTGTTTTTTTAATAGAATATTAATGTAATTTATTTAAATTAAACAAACTATTTAATTGACTATAATTTAATTATGAAATTCATCAGCCAAATATTCATATTAAATATTAAGTAAAATAATAATAACAATATACATTTAGAAAAATAATTACTTAAATTTGACTACCACAGTTCAGTACAAACTAATCAAACAATGCTTAACTTATTTAACAAGTTTTTAAAAATCAACAAATATACATGTATAGTTTTGGGTTAGTGGCACATCAGAGCTACCATTCGGGGACTACTTCGAGTCGGTATTGGACTACTGGTCGCACCGGGGCGACTCAAATTGCACCCTAATCATTTACGAGCATATGCTGACCGACCCGACACGAGTTGTCCGACAAATTGCATCATTTCTGGGGCCCAAATACGTGGCCCGACTCACCGATAGGGAGGCCGATAACGGGGAACAACTATTGGAGCGAATGGTTCGCGAATCGAGTTTTACACCAATAAAAGGGTCACTGAATAAATGGGATTCGCATTTCAATGAAACGCCCGGCGATTGGAGATTGCGTTTGAATCGTCTCCAAAGCGACGCTATCGACGCCCGGGCGGCCCGAGTCTGGTCAGGCACTGGCCTACTCGAGCTCTGGCCACGTGAGATGCAGTGGTAATCAACGTATCATGGTCGTTGTTTTAAAGTTTTTTTAAATTTAAAATATTAATTTTTAAAATACTTTAATATAAAAACATTGCCATAAGTGTAATAAAATTTTATTTGCTTGTTATTATTTGTTTAAAACTGTTTATTACTGTAACGTTTGACAACTCTCTCCGGTTGGATATATTCAGGTAATATATATGAGTGGTTTGTGTCTCTTCTCGTCATTATTGGTCGACTGTATTAATTGAATATTAAAATACAATTAATTTTACTAATGTGCTAGGAGAGCTCTGGGCGAATATTTACTATATAAGCTTATTCAGTAAGCTGTTCAGGTTTACATAGAGTAATAGTTTTTGAACGTATTCATAATTTATTTTATCGAGTGCAATAAGTTTTTATAAAATTATTTTATTAATCAATTTAAATAATTCTAGTAGATATACCACACTATCTACCTCAAATCAACTCATACTGTACTTTCAAATCAAACTATATTGAATTTGGATCAACAAAAATCAATTCAGTAAATATAAATTTAATCTAAAAATTTGACAAAAGAATAATTATAATCAGTTACTTAAGATCATATTTAACAATATTTGTATATAAATAATTATAATCTTAAATTAAACAATTGAAAATCTTGATAATCAGTGAATACAGTTTTATACTACTTTATAAATTTAAAATTACTACCATGGACCATTATCGAATTCGTATTTGAATGGTCGCATAGTTTGCGTGTTTATTGTCGCGCAATAATACGTCCGGTGTCTCGCATATGGGCGTCCGCCATATCGTCGCACAGACGGAGTCCAATGGCCCGCAAACGGTGTCCGTATGTCTCGTCAAAGAGTGCCGAGTCTTCGACAGTCATGTGTCGCCTCCCGTCGCCGACAGTGGCGTTGCCGACAAAGTTTGCCTTCAAATTGAGCACTTGTTTCATATCAGACCTGTTGGCCATCGGGTTGTCGCGCATCGCATCGGCCGTACAGTGAGTGACGATTGCGGCCACCGTTTCGTCGGTAAATTGTTTGCCGAGAAAGCGGGCGATTGTGCGGACCATTGCCAACAGGTCTGCCCTCAACTCCTCGTACGCCACGAACAATACGTTGGCGTGATTTGAGCCATAAGTGCGCCAAAAGTCATTCAAGTGTTGAAACCAATCGCCGTTTAAGAGATCGCCGTCGAGAAAGAGTTGGTAAAAGTCGTGCCAATCAATGGCCGGGAGTTTCATATTGTGGTGGAAGCGAAAGGCAGACAAACAACAGTCCTTTGGTTTTAGTTCCCATCGCAGCCCTATATTTTGCTCGCCGTTCCAGTCGTTCGCTGGACATCGGCTTTGAATTCATAATTATTTGATATCTGGTATAAAATATAATGTTTTTATAAATTTAAAATAATTTAAACTCATAATACAGTGTAGTATAGTTAGAATAATATTCTGCTACTTTTAACCAGAATTGTCAAGTAATGTCTATTTAAATTCTATCTAAACCAAGGTGATGCGATAGTTACTTTTACCGAGTTTTATGCCAAAAGTTAATAATAAAATAACACTTTGTTTGTGCATGTTTTAGAGGGGTACCAAGTGTTTTACGTAACTACTATGTCGAGGTTTTGTAAAAGTAAAATATATATTTTAAAACTACTCTTCATGCTGACAATTATATGGACATTGTTTTCAAAAACTCACTTATATTGATTATATTGATAGTAATGCTAATGAGTTTGCACTATCAGCCCAGCCTGATATAAGTTATATCTTATGATCATTTGATTAGTAACTTTTTGATACGCAGTTTTTGATAAAAGTTCAATTATTATTTAAATATACTAATTAAATAATGACTGA